CATGAGGAGTGACGTATTCTAGTGCCCATACATCAGAACATAGAAAACTTATTTAGAATACAGAGGTCTAAACATAGGTAAAGACATACTATTTTTAAATTTTACATTTCCTCTTCTGATTCCTTCTGTTTCCTCTTTGAAGTAGTAAGGAACATTAGGATCTGAAAGCTAGGATGGAAAAGAAAGGTTGAAAGTTTGAAGAAGGAATAGTAGAACTGGACTTGATAGCTCTCTGATAGGCTAATGTCTTTGCCTCTGGATGCACTCCCAGAAGTGGAATTGCTTATCATATGGTACTTCTGCATTTAGCTTTTTGAGGAAATTTCACATAGCTTCCATACGTGGTATACTAATTTACAGTGCCACCAATAATATGGAAGAGGTCTCCTTTCTTCACATCCTCATCAGCACTTATTATTTTTCGGATTTGTGATAACAGTCATTCTAACTTCAGTGAGAAGATATCTATCTCACTGTGATTTTGACTTGCTATCTGCACTCCCAATTACATACCACTACTCACAATAACCAATATATAGAATCAACCTGTGTCCATCATCAGATGAATTGATAAAGGGAATGTGGTACATACATAGTGAAATATTGTTCAACTATAAAAATGGATGAAATCCTAAGCCAACATGGTGGAGATTTGGTACTTTTTTCTTCTATTATGTGCAAGGTCTTTGTTCTAGTACCTAAGTCCTTTATTCATGTTGAATTGAGTTTTGTGCATGGTAAGAGATAGAAATTTAATCTCATTTTGCTACATATGGATACCCAGTTTTCCCAGCACCATTTGTTGAAAAGTCTATCTTTTCTCCAATGCATGTTTTTGGTGCCTTCTTCTAGTATCAGATAACTGCATTTATGTGGGTTTGTCTCTGAGTCTTCTATTCTGTACCATTGGTCTATGTATCTATTTTGGTGCCAATACCATGCCGTTTTTGTTACTATATCTCTTAGTATAATTTGAGGTCTAGTATGGTGATGCCTCCTGCTTTATTTTTCTTGCTAAAGAATGCTTTAGCTATTCCGTGTCTTATTTTTCCATATATATTTCATTATTGCTTCTTCTATTTCTATGAAGAATGTCATGTAGGATAGGGGTGCTGACATAGGAATAGATTGTTTAACAAGTACAAAGTCACAATTAGACAGGAGGAATATGACCTAGTGTTCTATAGTATAGAATGACTATAATTAACAACAATATATTGTGAATTTACAAATAGCTAGAAGAAAGAATTTGGAATGTTCTCACCAAAAAGAAATGACGAGTGTTTGAAATGATGGACTTGCTAACCATCCTTATTTGATAATTATACATTGGATACATGTATCAAAATGTCACATTGTACCCCTAAATAGTCACATTTGTATAAATTAATTTAAAAAACACAAAAAATTAAAGCAAACATTTTTAAAAATGTAGTGAATTTGTTGGGCAGAACTGTAGCCAACAATTTAAAACAAGGATATAAATTTAAAATAAGACTAGTGAGTATTTTTTGTTTGTTTGTTTTTCTTAGCATCCTTTATCTGCCTAGATATAGTCATGTGGTGGATGATTAGATTTAACTGTTAAATTTCTACTTTGAAAATACCATTGTTGCTTAAAATTCTCTGCCTTTTTTACTTATGAGTTTTAAGGTTTTAATACTAATGTATCAACTTAGATGAATATTGAAATATCAGATGCCTACTATCATTACTTGAGGAAATATGTTCATATGTGAGATATGTATATATCTATATTTTTATTTCTACATTATTTCATTATCATAACTGTACCATCCTGCATGTTGCTATCACAATTGTAATAATTTATTTATATCTACGTGGAATATCTAAACTGTCTCAATTGAGGTTTATCTTATATTTATACAAATATATAGCTTCGTTATTGCTAAATTAAATCTGGCTTAGTGAAAGAAAGGACATTTTAACCACTAAATTATGATTAAAAATATATCTATATTTTTCTTAGCTCATTTCCTAGAATAAAATGAAACAATGCTCAGAATCATATTTTTTTCTCATTAATGTCTTCATTTTTAAATGCTCTTAGATACTTAGGATATTGTAATATACCAGAAAGTAAATCTGTACCTATTTATATCCAATGACATTAAGAAATATTTTCCAGAAATTATGCAAAACCTAATTCACACTTAATTCTGCTATGAATTTAATCTTTAAACATATTAATTCGTGTTGGTAGAAATAGAAACAGAAGTTGCTAATTTAGATTCAGCTACATCATAATCTATGAAAATTTGATGAATAGTCATAGGAAACATTATGTAAGTGTGTAAATCCTCCATCAATTGTGGCCTTCAATATGTTCATTGTATTCTCTTGATTCAGTATTGGTGACTCTAATTCCATCTTCTCTCCTAATACTAAACATATAACATAAAATATTCAGAAAAATGTTGAAATGGAAAAGTAAAGGCATCATCTAGAATATTTGAATCAAAATTATCTACCATCACCTGATTGATCTAGATAATTGGGGCAAATAATATTTATCTACTTATAACAGGGTTGATGCCTCAGATTAAAAATAATTATCTCAGTTTGAATATTTAGAAGCAGTATTGCTCTCACTTTCCATCTGATCTGAGTTCTTAATACAGTACAGTTGCTATAGCTTTTTTTTCCCCCCTGGTATAGATTAATCATGCCAGCTTTTGTTGTCATACACTTTTACTATGATTGCTTATTACCAAAATTGTTTACTAATGATTAAAATAATTTGGGTTTGCATTCTATACCAATATATGTTAACATTTTACTTGCATCATTAAAGAGCCTATTAAATAGTTACATATGATTTCCAGGGATATCACACAAGCTCATTGATGACCTATGTCATACATTTTTGGCATATTTTGTTCTAACACTTTAGATGCATCCTTAGTAAAAATAAAGCCATAGAAGCAAATTTATGAAGCTGCACTTCTGTCATTAGACATTATAGTGTCAACACATCACCTTTGTGGAGTTTTCCTGTACAAGAAATCACAAGGAAATAATCCCTTCCTATTGTCTTTCTAAGGAATGGTAACTCCGACCACATAAATCTTAAGATAATGTGAAGGAACTATAGAGGCAAGAATTTTCCCTTGATTTTTCATTCATCAGCTTGAGTCAGTTTTCTCTGCAGTATTTTAAATTTATATTCAACTTAGAAATATTTGTAGGTTTTCAATATTTTTTCATACTTTCCCCTCGCAATTTTTATTGCTGTAAGGTCTCAGTGGCTTTATGGTTAATGGTTCACATAATTGGAAAAGCAGGAATTTTTTTTTCCTAGGATGTTTTTTACATTTAACAGTGTCCTTTAATCTTCCTTTGTTTAGACAGAATTATGGCTAAAACTGTACTTTGAGTTATATGATAGAGTTTCAAATTTTAAAACAAAATTCCCTATGAACATATAAAGTTTATGGTTCATAGTTAGTATTATTATATTTCATATGCCCATTATGCTGAACCTTCATTTTAATTACCATGAACAACAAATTCACAAATTGCCAATTAATATTACTTATATGAAAGAATTTTAACAGTATGAATTACTTAACTATATGTCTAATTTTCTATTGCCAGTTTTTTATTTTTATACTGTGATATTTTAAATCATACATACATGCACACACATATTATAATACATATGTTGTAAATGAGGTGACATTTCTTGACATACACAAAGCCTACAATCTATTAAAGTTAAATAGCAACCACATTAAAATATGCACAATTCTTTCAAAATACTGTTTGTTATTAGTATGTGGTCTCATTAATTTAACTTGAGAGACTTATGAGAAAGAGACGATTGTTTTCTAATATTAAGATAATTAAAAGAAGAGCACTGTGGTGAGTGAGATAGGACACCCAAGGTCCTTTTTTCCTTCCACAGAAATACCAACTCTATAATGCATGGATTCATTCCCTTTATAAGAAATCTGGAAATTAGTCTCATACCCTCTTCAACAACAGAAAAACAAAGGGTATCAAAGTCATTAGGAAAAATTGTGTCACTCTTTTCCATAGTTGCTCCCACTGGTACCATCCCACGTGATCACAAAGGATCTCCCACCTCCTAGCTTCTTCTGGAAATAGAACAAGAACATAGACCCAATGTTGCAAGTTTGGAAAGAGATAGAGGCCTACACAAGGGACTGATTCTGTCTGGCTTCTCTAGGATAATCCTACGACCTGCACATTCTAGGTGCTTGGGAATGCTGAGAACAGATGAGCTGAGCATCATGCTGATGCTTCTGAGAATACATGGCACAGCACACAGAGGCTAACATAACTTCTCCCTCAGGAAGGAAAAGAAGAGAATATTGATCAAATATTTTGGGTTTCCAAGAGTCTGCATCAGGCATTGGTTTCTCTGCTGTCTGTTTCAAAGCACTGATAAGACAGAGAATATTCCTGACACTGGAGGACATTGAGATTTTGTTAGAGTGCTACTGCTCCAGAGGACCAGTGGTATCTTGGTAGCATAGAGGCACTAGAAAGAAAGATCAAGAGATTATCAGTTTCTGAACAACAAAAAAAAAAAATGACATATTCCTTAAATATAGAATCAACACACAAAACTCCAGAGTGAACTCATCCATCAGAAAGATTTTAAAGTTCCCCAAATCTCTAGTGAAACTGATTGGTGGACTTTGCTTGTATAAAGCCAATCCATGAAGAATGAGAGAGATGAGTTCATTTATCTAATTTTTGAATAACAACACAGTGATATAAGGAAATGAAGAGGAAGTGTCTGTATTAGCTTTGCCTCACTTTTAACCAATGACCTGAGAAGAAAAACTTAGAGGAGGAATAATTTATTTTCATTCTCCACTTCAGAAGTTCAGTCCACAATCAGAGGACTATTCAGCTCTCTGTTTTAGGTGAAGCAGAACATAGCTGAGCAGAGGAAAATAGCTCAAGACAACACAACCAAGAAGCAGAGAGAGCCTTTCCCCGCCGATGGCCGCGGGGGCACGATGAAGCGAGCGGATGGCGCTGCCGCTCCCGGGCAGCCGCGGGCGGGGAACGCTGCCCAAGGACCCTGGATGCCTCTCTAGAGCATGAGCTCAGGCAAGAGCGCCCGCTACAACCGCTTCTCTGGGGGTCCTGCCAACCTTCCCTCCCCAGACCTCAGCACCGGGGCCAAGGCTCCTCCTTTTCTCCTAGACCAGAATGGAAACAACCTTTGGACCCGCCTTCTCGGCAGTCACCACCATCACGAAAGCCAATGGGACCAGTACTTACAAGCAGCACCGCAGAACATCTTCCTCTTCCAGCACCCTCGCCTACTCCCCACGGGATGAGGAGGACACCATGCCCCCCATCAGCACCCCTCGTCGCTCTGACTCGGCCATCTCCGTCCGCTCCCTGCATTCTGAGTCCAGCATGTCCTTGCGCTCCACGTTCTCACTGCCTGAGGAAGAAGAGGAGCCGGAGCCACTGGTATTTGCTGAGCAGCCCTCGGTGAAGTTGTGCTGCCAACTCTGCTGTGGTGTATTCAAGGACCCTGTGATCACCACCTGTGGGCACACGTTCTGTAGAAGATGCGCCTTGAAGTCAGAGAAGTGTCCTGTGGACAATGCCAAGCTGACAGTGGTGGTGAACAACATCGCAGTGGCCGAACAAATTGGGGAGCTCTTCATCCACTGCAGGCACGGCTGCCTTGTGGTGGGTGCAGGGAAGCCCAGTGTCTTCGAGGTGAACCCCCGGGGGTGCCCCTTCACCATCAAGCTTAGTGCCCGAAAGGATCACGAGGGCAGCTGTGACTACAGGCCTGTGCACTGCCCCAACAATCCTAGCTGCCCACCCCTCCTCAAGATGAACCTGGAAGCCCACCTCAAAGAATGCGAGCACATCAAGTGTCCTCACTCCAAGTACGGGTGCACCTTCATCGGGAACCAGGACACATATGAGACACATCTAGAGACATGCAGGTTTGAGGGCCTGAAGGAGTTCTTGCAGCAGACAGATGACTGCTTCCATGAGATGCATGTGGCCCTGGCACAAAAGGACCAGGAGATAGCCTTCCTGCGCTCCATGCTGGGCAAGCTCTCTGAGAAGATTGACCAGCTAGAGAAGAGCCTCGAGCTCAAGTTTGATGTCCTGGATGAAAATCAGAGCAAACTCAGTGAGGACCTCATGGAGTTCCAGAGGGATGCATCCATGTTGAATGATGAGCTGTCCCACATCAATGCAAGGCTGAACATGGGCATCCTAGGATCCTATGACCCTCAGCAGATCTTCAAGTGCAAAGGGACCTTTGTGGGCCACCAGGGCCCTGTCTGGTGTCTCTGTGTCTACTTCATGGGTGACCTACTCTTCAGTGGTTCCTCTGACAAGACCATCAAGGTATGGGACACCTGTACCACCTACAAATGCCAGAAGACGCTAGAGGGCCATGACGGCATTGTGCTAGCTCTCTGCATCCAGGGGTGCAAGCTCTATAGTGGCTCTGCAGATTGCACTATCATTGTGTGGGACATCCAGAACCTGCAGAAGGTGAACACCATCCGGGCCCATGACAACCCTGTGTGCACACTTGTGTCCTCTCACAACATGCTCTTCAGTGGCTCCCTGAAGGCCATTAAGGTACAGGCAAGAGTGTGCGTGCACATGCGCAGCATCAGGGCACTGGGCACTGACCCAGCCTATGCTCACAGCCATCCCCACAGGTCTGGGACATCGTGGGTACTGAACTAAAGTTGAAGAAGGAGCTCACAGGCCTCAACCACTGGGTGCGGGCCCTGGTGGCAGCCCAGAGCTACTTGTACAGTGGCTCCTACCAACAATCAAGATCTGGGACATCCGGACCCTCGACTGCATCCACGTCCTACAGACATCTGGTGGCAGTGTCTACTCCATCGCTGTGACGAATCACCACATTGTCTGTGGCACCTATGAGAACCTCATCCACGTATGGGACATCGAGTCCAAGGAGCAGGTGCGGACCCTAACAGGCCATGTGGGAACCGAATATGCCCTGGCAGTCATCTCGACACCAGACCAGACCAAAGTCTTCAGTGCGTCCTACGACCGGTCCCTCAGGGTCTGGAGTATGGATAACATGATCTGCACCCAGACCCTACTGCGCCACCAGGGTAGTGTGACTGCATTGGCTGTGTCCCGGGGCCGGCTCTTCTCAGGAGCTGTGGATAGCACTGTGAAGGTTTGGACATGCTAACAGAATTCAGGCCAGGCCTTTACTCCAAGCTGGCAACACGGGATGGCCCTGGAGCTTCTTCCTGCCCTGTAGGAGCAGACAGAGTTATGTGTCCAGGCAGTGCCCTCCCTGCCCTCACTCCGTGAACCTCCCTCTACTCAACTCGGCCCTGTCTCATTGTGGTTAGGGCAACACCCAGGCTCTTCTCTGGGTGCCAGGTACGACGCTTGCCCAGCCAACCCTTTGTCCCCACCCCATCTGGAGTATGGGCCTTTTTACTTACCTTTTCTACTGTTTTTAGACTGTATATAGATTTATTTGATTACTTCCTGATTGAAATAAAAGCTGCACAGACTGTGATAAAAAAAAAAAAAAGAAGCAGAGAGAGACAATAAGTTATCAGGACAAAATATAAACTCCAAAGGCCTGCCACCCTTGAGTGACCTCCTTCCTCCAAAACCAGTTTCCACCCAGTTAATCCATTCCAGTGGATTAATCCACTCATTAGGATAAGGTTCTCACAATTCTATCACTTCACATCTGAACATCCTTATATTGCCTCACATATGAATTTTTTGAGGGCACCTTATATCCAAACCATAACAATGCCCAATCAAAGTAATAAAATACATTTCCAGAAAATGACCCTAATGAAATGAAGGCATGAGAATTGCTCAAAATAGTATTCAAAACAATCAAAGATGGCAAACAATCTCAGGAAAATGAGGCATGAACAAAATGAGAATTTGAACAGAGAGATGAGGAGGTGGGGATGGGGATGTAAAAAGGGAGGGATTGTGGAACTACATTGACCAAATTATGCTGTGTATATACATGAATATATCCCCAGAGAATTTCACCTTTATGTATATCTATAAAGCATCAATTAGAATAATAAATAAACAGAAGGAAGACCTATGGAGTAGAGGAAGAGGAACAGGGGAGGAGGAAGGGAAAGAGATACTGAGATTGAAAAGGAGCAAATTATATTCCATACATATGTGATTGTGTCAAAATCAATCCCACTATCATGTAAAGCTATAACACTAATATAAACATTAAGAAGAATAAGCAGAATATTTGGAGTTAGATTGTAATGTCTGAACAGAAAAATTCGCTCAGAGTCCAGCAGCAGGTGAGCAAGTAGAAAAAAAAGAATCGGTGAACTTGAAGACAGGGCATTTGAAATTATCTAGTCACAGAAGCAAAAAGAAATAAAATAATGAAAGATAAGAATGTTTTAAGAATTAATGGAATACAAAGTGCAAAATATACATGAAGTGAGAATTCTAGGAGAGAGAAAGGGGAAGAAATCTTATTTTTAAAATGATGGTCAAAATCTCTAAAAACTAGAGAAGAAAGTGAGTATTTAGGATCAAGAAGCCCAACGAATCAAGAAGCCCCAAGATTAACGAAAGAAGTATTCTAGGAGACACATTATAATGAAATCGCCATAATCAAAGCCAAATAATTTCAAAAGCAGCAAAACAAAACTTGTCATGTGCAAGGGAACTTCCATAGGACTATCAGCATATTTTTCCGTTGAAACTGCAGGCAAGGAGGGAATAGTGAAATGATATATTCAAAGTGCTGAAAGAAAACACTGCCAGCCAACAGTATTATATTGAGCAAAACTGTCCAAGGTGAACAAGAGAAAAACTTTCCAACTTTCCCAGATAGACAATAGCTTAGGGAGTTTATCACCACTATATTTGTCTTATAGCAACTGTTCGCATAGAATTGAAATAGTTGAAACAAAAAGACAATACAGCACCTCAAAATCTTATGAAAGTATAGGCTTTTGTATAGTATATACTGATAAAGGTAAATGTGTTCACAAATACAGAATATTGGAATACTGCTATGGTGGCCTATGAAATGACTTTTAATTTTGGTATAGGAATTAAAATACAGAAGTATTTGAGGTAACTGTAAGTATCCAAATGTTAATGAACATACCACAACGTGTATAATTTGTGATATCAGTAAGAAATTGTAAGAAGAAGTAAGAAATTGAAATACCATCTTAGAGCAGTTTTTTATTATGATATGATATTTTTTATAAGCTTCTTGGTAACCACAAACACACACACACGCACACACACACACACACACACACACACACGTAAGACAATGAAAACAGGAGTGAGAAAGAAATGAAAGCATGGCACTTGAAAAAAATCAATGAACTATAAAGGAAGAAAAGAAAAGGAAAGGAGAGGCTAAGGAACTCATAAGGCAGAAAGACAAACAAATTGGCAATAGTCTTTGGTAAAATCAATAATTATTTAAAATATAACAGAGTGATCTACAGTTTCAATGCAATCACTACAAAATTCCAATGATATTTTTGTAGAAATAGAACAAAAAATCCTAAAATTCGTATGAAACCAAGATGATCCTGCATACTCAAAGCAATCTTATGAATGAAGAACAAAGTTGGTGGCTTTGTACTTCCTAATTTTAATACATCTTACAAAACTTTAGTGATCAAAACAGTCTGATATTGGTAAAAAACAAAATAAACAAACACACACACAAAACAAACAAACAAAAAAAACAACACCTGATATATAGAGCAATGAAAACAAGCAGAAAGTCCAGAAATAAACTGCACATACTGACAACTGATCTTAGATGAGGGTAACAAGAAAAGAGATTAGAGAAAGCCTAAATTTTTCAGCAAATATAGTTGAGAAAACTGGATATCTGCATGTAAAAGCATGAAATTTACCATTGTGTTGTATGAAAAAAAAATTAATTCAGAAAGGATTAAAGACATAAACATAAAACCTAAAACTATATTAAAAAAGAAGAAATAATGTAGGAAAAGTCCCATGACACTTATCTTGGCCATTAAATATGAAACCTCTGAAGAGACTACCTAAAATCAAAAGGTTTGGACAGCATATGAAACAATTAACAGAGTTAAGAGACGAGCTATATGATGGGAGAAAATACTTGCAAACAAAAAAAAAAGTGGATGAAGGGATTAATATTCAGGAAATGAGAACCTCCTACAGCTCATAGCAAAATAAATAATTACCTGATTAAAAACTCAGCAAAGGTCTTGAACAGATATTTCTGTAAAGCAGGCATAAAATCACAATGTGGAAAAACACTGAAAATCACTAATTGTCCGGAAACAAACATCAAAACCACAATTAAAAATAGTATCTCACATCTACCATAAAAGCTAATACTAAAAGAAAAAACAAACCAAAATAGCATATGCGCTAGGAAGGAGGCATAGAAATTGAAATTGTTAGGTACTATTGTTGGGGTAACATGGGAAATGGTATGGCCACTATGAAACCAATATGCAGGTTACTCAAGTAACTAAAATAGAAATATCAGATGATCCAATAATCCTATTTCTGTGTATTTGTTCAAAGAATTGAAATAGATATCTGGAAGAGATCTTTGGACTTATCAGTTCACTCACTCTAGCATTATTCACAATAGCCAAGTGGTTGAAATAACTTAAATATCCATCATCAGAATGGGCAAAGAAAATAAGATATATATATATATATATATATATATATATATATATATATATATATACACAATGGAATAATAGCCAGCCTTAAAGAAGACAAGACATCCTGTGTGCTGCAACTTGGATGAAGATATTATCATTAATGAAGTAAAGACAAAATGACAGATTCTGCTTGAATCCATAAGTATTAAAGTAATGAAACTCACTGAAGCAGAAAGTAGAATGGAATCATCAGAGACTTGCAGGAGGAAGAAAAGAGGATTTGTTCAATGGTATAGAACTGCAGTTATCCAAGATGGACAAGTCCTAGAGATCTGCTGTATAACATTGCACTTGTAGTTAACAATACTATAATCTTCATTTAGAAGTCTAAGAGCATATTTCACCTGAGTTTTTAACTACAGGGAAAAAAATTACATTAATTTATAGTCAGGAAATAACAGATTAGTTGTTCATGGTATTGAAAAGAAAATGTTGCAAATTCAGTAAATGAGAGAGCCTAGGGAAGAGGATTGTGAATGAGCATATCAAAATGGGCAAAAATTATTTTTAAGGAAAATAAATAAGAAAATAAAATATACAAAATACAACTATACTAATTATGATTTAATCTTTTCTTGATGTCCAGAATGCTTCATTGTTTCATTCCAATATCATTATTTTTCAAACTAAATAGAATATTGCATGACACAATCATATATAAAAAATTAAAACACGATATTTACCATTGGATTGATGTCATAAGTTTTCAAAATAGTTCTTAATCTCAATAAAATACCAGTCTTTAAAAATGGAGATTGGTGTAATGATGTTTACCTAAGAACTAAATATGCAGGCTTCCAAAAAACACATCAAAAAAGAGTCGTTTTATAAGAGGCTATATATAAGTTATTTTGTAGAATAGAACTTCAAAACATTTGTACTGACAATCTTGGTTCTGGTCGGCCTCCATATGTGCATGCCTTATTTATTAAAAACTCTTAGTGTACGAAAATTGCTGTCCCCAGACAGGTGCCCAGAGGAATATAGGAAGATCTGCTGTCACCCCAGCTGGTAATCTTGTTTGTGCTTTATCTCTTCTCTCCCAATCCTCCATTGTCATTGAAAAAATAAATAAATAAGTAAAATTAAAATTTAAAAAAAAAAAAGATGCTGGGCTTGTCGTCACCACCTTTAATGAGGGAGTAGTGAGTCCAAAGCTTTCTTTACCTCTTTTCCATTCCTAGTTTGCTAGTCTTTAGGTTTAGCCATACTCTAACCACATTTCTGCCCCTTCCATTAAGCTGAGAACATTATGGTAATTATAGTTAAGCTCTGTCATATTGTTTCAGATAAACTCACTAAATTGTATAGTTCAAATTCTCTTAGTGCATGGAATTACTACAACTTCTATTTCTCCCACAATCAGCAAATGAAGAAATCAGTTTTAAATGTGTATAAGTGTGTATGCATACGTGTGTGTGTGTGTGTGTGTGTGTGTGTGTGTGTATATATATATATATATATATATATATATATATATATATAAAATGAGAAAAACAGGGTTAACACATATGTCTTGAAAAAACATAACATGTTATTCTCAAATTCTTCAACATCCTGGATCTTTTGTTTTTGAAATAGGCTTCTAATGCCATTGATGAAAACCAAAATATTTTTAATTCAAGGTTTTAAATAGTAAATATATGATATAAATGGATTTTAGTAATAATTGAAAAATTTTGCACAAATATATCAGACAATGTTTCATCAGAAATAACAGATATTTGTCATATTAAATGTGGGTTTGGAGTGACCTTAAAAACACTTCCTCTCATTACATGTACCAGAAACTTTGAGAACT